ATAACACTGACATCTTGGGCCAGCGCCTCGGCTTTGAGTCTTGTCCCCTTGTGCCATAGACTCAAAAAGGGCCTTGCATTCCAGGGAGCCTGAGCCACCAGGACAGCCCTAGGGATTGTTGCAACTGGCGTAGGTTAGAGCAGCCCTAAGGCTGTTCTAATATACGCTGGGGGGGGGGGGGAATAACAAGTGCTCAGCTGCCTCCAGGAGTGGGGGAGAGATAAAGATAACGTAAGGCCACCTTTGACCTCCCAGCTGGTCCAGGCTGGGCATGATTTGGCTGGACCCAAGGTTTCTGACCTCTTTCCTTTCGTCAGCTTGATTTCTCCACCTTCATTGTGCACTAACATAGGTGTTCATCGGTGAGCATGACATTTTGCCTGCAGAAGTGCTGGTGCCCAGCGGCTAGAGCAGGGGCCTGGGGTTCCCTGCTGCTTGCTCTGGAGTAAGTCACTTTCCCTTTCCTGTGCCATTAAAAGGGGTACAAGACTCTCGTTGGGCACGGTGAGACTTAATCCAGGGGGCAGAGTTGTTTGTGAGCCTGCCATTACAGGTGCCATAGCTGCCCAGGGGATCTCATTGTAAGGACTGGAGTGAGATCATTTCATAGCTGCAGCTCTTCAGCCATCAAGCAGCAGGATGTTGCCCTTGTATTGTCCCCAGCCCTGCCAGACTAGGAGAATGCAAACAGAGCGCAGATGCCTCTGAGTGAAGGACTCCCTGCGATTTCTTGATTGCCCGGGCAGGGCTGTGAATGGCCAAGCAACACCCCCTTCAGGGGGCTGCTCTGTTGAATGAGCTGAATCTGGACAATCCTCTCCGCAAAAGAGACAGCTGGCCCTCCAGACATGCATGAGGGGCCATGGTGGAGTCTCCTCCATGCACGGAGAGGAGACATTAATCACACATTGGAGATGGACGCTCAGCGCGCGCGCACACACACACACATATATTTTAAATGCACAGATCACACACACATTCTTATAAATACAGACACATATGAATACGCAGGTAGTAGTAGGCATCATTCAGTCTTGAGAGACCCTGGGTATGCACACCCTTGAGGGGTAAAGAATTTACTCCGTTGGTTTTATGGCAGCCGCGAAGCTGGCTGAAGAGGCCCACTCGAGAGAGACATTCGCTGCCGCATCTGTCACATTTAAAGGTGATGTTTCGACCTTTTGGGCTCTGCCTTCTGCGAGCTCCTTTCTCCTCTGCGAAGCTGGACAGCTTCCTCTCAGCACTCCGGAGACCTTTGTTAAGCTCTTGTTTCCAAAGGCTGGGATCTTGAGTGTGATCTTCCCAGTTGTCCACGTCCATTTCTTTGAGGTCTTGCTTGCACACTCCTTGAAACACAATGTTGGGCGTCCTTTGGGTCTTTTTCCAGATGCCAGTTCACCACAGAGGATGAACTTTGGGGTGCACCCATCATTCCTTCGGCACATATGCCCAAGCCAGCGGAGGCGTGTTTACATGCTGGCCCGTTTGAGCACCTCAATGTTGGTGACTCCATCCCTCCTGGAGATTCCAAAGATTCGACAAAGGCAACGCGTATGAAAGCTGTTGAGCCTCTTTTCCTGATGAGAGTACAAGGTCCATGTCTTGTGTAATGCTGACAGACCCCGGTCATCGGCGGGCAGGATCGAACCGGGGACCTTTGGAGCTTAGTTCATGAGCCTCTACCACATGAGCTAAAAGGCAATTGGCTGTTAGCTAAGGCTGTAGAGCAAACTCATTAATCTCTCTCTCTAAGTGGTCTTGGTGCCACTAGATGGGGCAGAACACCACACCCAGCAGGTGTGTGGGTTACACTTGCTCCCATACAAAAGTGTGCTGCTAACACATTCACGATGCACACAGATCTGTATGTGTTCTATCTGTTTGTTGTTTTGCCAGACCCTCTTGTTCAGTCTAGGCAGTGTTGTGGCAGCTTTGCCAATGCAGATGTTGAGTTCTGTTTCAAGTGAAAGGTTGACTGCGATAGTGGAGCCCAGGTATGTGAACTCAGTCACCACTTCACGTTCACAGTTGTTGATCTTGATGGACGTTGCTTCCTCAACTCCTTGGCTCATTATATTTGTCTTTTCTAGGCTTATAGTAAGCCTGAAGTCTTGGCAGCCTTTGGAAAAACTGTCCATTAGGTTTTGAAGATAAGCTTCTGTGTGGGTTGTCACTGCTGCGTCATCAGCAAAGGGGAAGTGTTGGATAAGGGCTTCCCGGATCTTGGTTTTAGATCTGAATCTTGCATGTGCACATACACATACACACTCCCGCCCAATCATAGAATCGTAGGACTGGAAGGGACCTCGAGAGGTATCTAATCCAGTCCCCTGCGCTCATAACAGGACTAAGTATTATCTAGACCAATGTTCCCTCTAATTTTTTACGTCCATGTGCGGAATGGATTTTGTTATGTGAACCAATATGGAGGTGATGTGTGGCGTGGATGGGGCCGAGGGGTTCGGAGTGTGGGAGGGGTCTCAGAGCTGGGGCAGAGGGTTGGGGTGTGGGGGGGTAAGGGCTCTGGGGTGGGGCTGGGGATGAGGGGTTTGGGGTGAGGGAGGGGGCTCAGGGCTAGGGCAGAGGGTTGGGTGTGGGGGGTAAGGGCTCTGGCTGGGGGTGCAGGCTCTGGGGTGGGACTGGGGATGAGGGGTTTGGGGTGCAGGCTGCCCTGGGGCTGCGGCGGGGAGAGAGGACTCCCCATGGGCACCTCTCCCTGGCCGCGGCAGCTCCAGGGCTGGGGCTGGGGAAGAGGCACCTCTCTCCTCTTCAGTCCAGGCCCTTGATAGCCTGCTGCACAGCCACGCAGCTTAGAGGGAACTTAGATCTAGACCATCTCTAACAGGCGTTTGTCTAACCTGCCCTTAAAAATCTCCAATGGTGGAGATTCCACAACCTCCCTAGGCAATTTATTCCAGTGCTTAACCACCCTGACAGTTAGAAAGATTTTCCTAATGTCCAACCTAAGTTGCAGCCAGGATGGTTTAAGCCCATTGCTACTTATCCTATCCTCAGAGGTTAAATAATTTTTCTCCCTCCACCTTGTAACAACCTTTTATGTATTGAAAACTGTTATCATGTCCCCTCTCAGTCTTCTCTTCTCCAGACTAAACAAACCCATTTTTTTCAATCTTCCCCCATAGGTCATGTTTTCTAGACCTTTAATCATTTTTGTTGCTCTTCTCTGGACTTTCTCCAATTTGTCCACATCTTTCCTGAAATGTGGCACCCAAAACTGGACACAATACTCCAGTTGAGGGCTAATCAGCGTGGAGTAGAGAGGAAGAATTACTTCTCGTGTCTTGGTTATAACACATCTGATAATACAGCCCAGAATGATGTTTGCTTTTTTGCAACACTGTTACACTGTTGACTCATATTAAGCTTGTGATCCACTATGGCCCTCAGATTCCTTTCTGCACGACTCCTTCCTAGGCCGTCATTTGCCATTTTGTATGTGTGCAGCTGATTCGTCCTTCCTACGTGGAGTATTTTGCATTTGTCCTTATTGAATTTCATCCTATTTACTTCAGACCATTTCTCCAGTTTGTCCAGATCATTTTGAATTTGAATCCTACCCTCCAAACCACTTGCAACCCCTCCCAGCTCGGTATTGTCTGCAAACTTTATAAGTGTACTCTCTATGCCATTATCTAAATCATTGATGACGATAATGAACAGAACCGGACCCAGAACATCCCTGCAGAACCACACTCGTTATGCCCTTCCAGCATGACTGTGAACCACTGATAACTACTCTCTGGGAACAGTTTTCCAGACAGTTTTGCACCCACCTTATAGTAGCTCTATCTAGGTTGCATTTCTCTAGTTTGCTTATGAGAAGGTCTTGCGAGATAGTATCAAAAGTCCAGATATACCACGTCTACCGCTTCCCCCCATCCACAAGGCTTGTTACCTTGTCCAAGAATATACATATATATGGATATGTATACGTATGTATATTATTTGACAGAGTAACAGAGTAATGTATATATACACGTCTAGCCACATGCACACATACACTTCGATACTCCCCTGTGGCCAGGTGGTCTATACACTGTACACACACTTCCACATATACATGCATATTTGCACACACATATGTATATAGACATTTATTACACCCACACGCACTTACAAACACATCTAGCGTTAGCCTCTTCACTGAGATGCCTGGTACAACCCACCAGAAGTCAGTGGGGTTACCAAAGGGTTGGCATCATGGCCCTAGACCAAAGTTGGACACATACAGATACGTCCTGACACACAAACACATTCAGCCAAGTCCACGGTACGCATGTAGACACATGCCCACTATACAAAATCACCTATGGGCCAGATCCTCAGCTGCCCAACACAACCCTGCCCCGATCCTGGCAGCTCTGGGCAACGGGCTGCCCTCTGGCGCAGCGAGGGTCTTGGCACACAGGGGCACTGGCACGAAACTTTCGTTCAGGGCCTGGGGCCGAAGGCGGGTGCCAGGGGCTGTATCCATTCACTCCGTTGCCCCCGGCTCAGGCTAGAGCAGCCTGTGGCTACCGTACCCCATAGCTCCCAGGGCTGTATGGCAGCCGGCAGTCCCCAGCCCAGGGGACCCCATCCTCCCTCCCTGCTCCCCCCCGCATGGACAGGCAGGGGGAGCCGGGCTCCCACTGCAGGAAGGAGACGCCCCGGAGCTGGGGCAAGTCTCCAGAGCGGAGCCACGCAGGGACACGCGTCCGCCCCAGCATCTCCAGCCAGCAGCCAGGGCACCGACTCGCGGCATCCCAGCGCTGCGCGGAGCTCCGGGCACCAGCCTCGCCGCCGCCCCGGGGCAGCCGCGCTCCAGCCCATCCCCGCGGCTTCCCGGCCAGCCGCTCGCCCCGTCTAGGTTGCAGGGTCCCGAGCGATGACCGCGTCCGCCCAGGGGGGGGCTGCTCTGGGCTGCGCCCCCCTTCCCCCGCCAGCCCGCGGCGTGGCCCCAAAGACCCCCCCCCCGGAGACCCCGCCCGGGCTCCTACCTGGCGCTCGGCGTTGGGCTTGGTGAGGTTGGTGTTGTAATCCCAGCTGGCGGACACGCTCCGGAACAGGACCCCCTCGGCGGAGCTGTTGTAGCCCTGCGCGAAGAGGGCAGCCCCGGGCTCGCTGGCGGCGGTGTCCGGGGGCAGGAGCCCGGCTTCCAAGGCAGCCGCCCCGCCGAGCCAGAGCAGCAGCAGCCGCAGAGCTGGGGGCATCCTGGCACCCGCGTCGGCCCCGAGCGCCTGGCCAGGGAGCCGCCCGCAGCGGCCGGCGGCTTATAAACGCTGCCCAGACCCTGCCCACCGAGCCGGCCTCTCCCCGCAGATAAGAGGGAACATTTTACTCTCCCTTCGGCGGCTCGTAGCGGGAGCCCGATGAAAGAGCCACTCGCGGTGCCAAAGTCCTTCCATGCAGCACAGGGAGGGGAGAGGAGAGGGAATTGGGGAGAGGGGGGAAGGGGGAAGGGGAGAGAGAGGG